TGTCACTTAGAACAACAGAGGTATTTGATAATTTTTCTTGTATCCACTACTTTTCTATAGTGTCCAGGAGTTATATCCAGATAACGCAACTAAAAAGAGCTCACACAAGGGAGTTATTCGCTCATGATACGTCATAGAAAGCTTAAGGAAAAGAATATTGTTATCTGTTATAGCAGAAAAAATTTTTTCGCAGGTCAGATTTTTTTAAAAAAAAGTAGTCAGAGGATCGACAGAAAAAGTTGTGTGATATATAATAGTTTTTACTACAATATGCTTATTTAAATGAATATATATTTGGTTTAAATCTTTTTTGTTCTTTAAATAAATATAAAGAAAAAGTACTATTAAGCAAATATATAAAACTAAAATTGCAATTACTTAAAACTTGTATTATTTAATTATTTAATTATATAAGAATTATATAATTTAATTAAATTGATTATGATTTTAATAAGTTATTATAACATTTGATGAGATTAATTTTATAAAAGATTTTTTTATTAATAAATTAAATCTAAGAATATTTGATCCTTGAATTAATAATTATACAAAAATTAAATAAAATACAATATATTTGATTTTAATAAATATTAATTATTGAGTAAATAATAATATACAAAAAATTTTTGAATAATAATAATAAGAAAAGCTTCTTTTTAACATTTCTATTAAAGGTTATTAAAACATATATAAAATTAGATAATAATTATTAATTGCAGATCTGCATATAACCAATAGATTTTCATAGGCGCAAAATTTATAATACAGTAACTTAAGCGCATACTTTATACATATAAAAAAAAATCATTCACTATTTAATTTCATAAATTATATTTGCCGCGTGTAGTACAAATCTAAACCACACTACTTGTATTCATAAAATATTTATTACTTTATACTTTTAAAAAGTTTTATATAAAGGAAAGGAAGATTTCATATAATATTACTTGTCAAATTTTATGTTTAGTTAGATTCTAACTATTTTTTGACATTTACTACTGGTCTCTTCAAGTGCTAAAATATTACTATTATTTTCTGACAGTGCTTTTTCTGATGCTTCTTTTTTAAAATTTGTGCTGTATCTTTCTATTCAACCTTTTATAGTTTTTACTGAAGGTATTTCCTCGAAAGTAAGTTCTCCATTTACAGCTAATTCCTCTAAACTTGCATACATATCTTCAGGTGAATAACAATCATCGGCTCTCAAATTTCTTGCTAAAAAAAAACCTTGCAAGTATTTTACTACTTTCTTTGATATGTTTTTTTCTGCACCTTTTTTATCAAGTTTCATATTTTCTTTTAGGGCCCATCCCATATTAAGAGGGAAGTCTTGATCCACACTATAAAAAAAAGTTGATCCGCATGAAAAAGAATATTGAATAGTTAATAATAGTATATTATTGAACAACTACCTTGAATCTTTCAGGTAGATAGATTTGTAGGTGGATTTGTAGTTGGGTTTATAGATTGGTTCGTGGCGAATAAGTTAATTTGTAGGTAGGTTTGTGGTGAGAGAGATGAATTCATAAGTAGGTTCGTGATGAGTATATAAAGGGTAAGAAACAAGCTGATATTAGATCAAACAAGTATGTAATACAAGTGTTGCCAAGGGAAAATGTCCCTTCGGACTTTCAATCATATTTTGTATCAGACATAATCTCTATTTAATTTATTAGAGATTATGTCCGGTACAAAATATAATCGAAAGTCCGAAAGGACATTTTCTCTTAGCAGCACTTATTTAATAACTAGTGTCTAGGCTTATGTATTTTTGAATTTTTTTCTTATACATAGAAAATGCATAAATCTAGACATATATATTTATGATTACCTTTCATAGCATTTGATGTTTCATCTGATTCTTCACTATTAACTAAAATAAATATTAATTTATAGAATAGTTAGCAAAATAAAATATATTATTTAACTAAGTCGACTAGTTAGGCTACACAAAATTATACAATTGGTTTTCATATTCCGCCTGCGTCAGTGAAGTGGTGTTTGTAGATTTTTTTTTATTATATAGCTAACTAATAGAATTCTCCATGCTAGGAACGTAAGTATATAGTTTAGTGCTTAAACCCGAGTGGACACTCTGGCTCATTCGCGGATTAGCAGAGATAGGCAAATTCATTTGTCTCTCATGGATAAGCATCAGCATCATTATATCATATTTAATAAAAAAAAAATTGGTTTAATCATTTATCTATTAAAAGTTGGCTATCAGCTATATTAAGTAAAATTAGCTTGAAATATATCTAAGATTACGGTATGATTCCCCGAAAGTTAGTTCTATCATATCTCCTAACAAACTATTTCACCTACAGCCCATTTTCTCGACAAGACATATTTTCAGACATTACCTTTTTATGATTTTGATATTTTTTTTTTTTACTATTATTTTAATTAAAAAATTTTTTTCATAAAAAAAAAGCCATGTGCCTGCATTACAAATTACCATTCCGTGATATGTAAACCAATTATATAATTTTATATGGCCTTATTTTTAGCGAATTTTTTTTTTTTATAATATATGAATTATTCTTAAAGTATAGTTATGAGTCAGTTATGTTTCAAACACTTTCATATTACCTGACATATTATCTGTTTCCTTGTTCGTTAGCTCTATAATAATAATAATAATAATAATAAAATTGGTATTTTATTTTATTTTATTTTTAAGTCAAAAGAACAATAAGGCTTCTTACCTGTTTTTTTAGGAATTGGTATTGTCCAAGAATTCTTGGGTTTAGATGACTCAGAAAATATTGGAGATGGTCTGTTATAAAAGGTAGCAATTTGCTCAGGATGAAACTCAGTCCACACACCTATGTGAGGAAGTAAACAAGCACGAAGGTATCCTGCAAATTGACCCGTTACAGGCCAGGACCACTCGAACTATTTAGAAATACTAGGTATAGTTTTGATTTTTTTTTTGCCAATGTTAGCTTCTAATTGGTGACTATGTTATAATTGCACAAATATTTGAAATCATTGATATTAGTCAGATTAGGATATTTGACACGTCGAATGGTATGTTTTTTTTTAATTTTTATCTGAACTTACTTCGGTAATTCAGAACTTATTTTTATATTGTCTTGATCCATCAATTTCTTTACTGATTTATTACGATTGGGCTCTATATGTGCCACAGATATTCCACTTAGATTTTGAAATACTGTTTCAATATTTGTTCTATCAGTAAGATTACATCCAATTCTTATATATCTTTTAATTGCATGTGCGATCTATAATTAAAATCAAAATTTATTAGTAGTAGTGTTTCACAATAAGCCAACTCACAAGAATTATAGTTCAGCTTATTTTTGGCTCACTAGATTCGCAAGTCCAGTGGTATAATCCACTGGACTGTGAGCATTGTGAGTTATAAATGAGTTAAACTATAATTTCTGTGAGCCTATTTAAGTTAGCTTATTGCAAATATATATATATATAACTTAAAATCTACTTGCCGCAGCATGGTGAGAATCAACAATGGTTTTTGCCTCTCCTAGCTCAAGAAAAATCCATCCACATACTTCTATATTATACCAGTTATACCAGTGACTAATAATCGCTATTAATTCCGAATTATGATAGTGACCTCTATTGTCTGAAATGATTTTAATCCAATGTGGTTTAGGATTCATTGTCATAAATACTGCCTCAAAACACGAAGCTGTAAACCAAGCATCTTGCTTAGTATCAGAACTCCAATGATCATAAGTCTGAATATCCAAAATTTCATCATTATCTTTATCTTTTTGAAACACCAAAGTTGTATGGAGTGTCTATTCACATTTTCCAAAGAATTAACTTTTTGTTTCCTGAGCTGTTGCAGGTAAAATCTGCATTTTATAGTCAACTATAATAATAGCTCTGTTATTGTCTAACTCACGTAGTATGGAATTAAATTGGGCATTTAGATATTTTTTACAAGTCTGATGTACCAAATAACATATTAATTGGTTTTTACATTCTAAAAGTGTAGTATGGTAGGTAGTATCGAGTTTATTTCTAAAATATTCTAACATATTGAACAATCTGTCACACTCTTAATACCAAGAAAAATGCTGATATTTATATTCACCGAAAGCAAACAATAAACAATGATTTATGCAATCTACATGATTAGTTGTATCGTTTTCATTGACAGCTAATTCATTTTTATAATATCATTTTAGATGACAACATAATATTTCGATTTCATAAATATAATAGTCCTACAAAAATTATATATTAATAGGATTATAGGTAATAATTATATTCTGGGTAGTTGGGTATAAGTAAAATTTTGTAGTAAAGTATAATTGGCTGTGTAAATAGTCGATTATACTTCACTGCAAAATTTTGCTTATATCCAACTACTCAGATTTATCCATGTAATATACTTTTCATGTATTTATTTTAGAGCAAAATCTTTATAGATTATTTTTAATATTTGAGATTAACTAGGATAATACAATACTTATATACAATATCATCTAAATTAGTAGATATGTATAGTAGAAATAAGGGTTTTACCACAATATCTTGAAAATCAAATTCCCGAAAATCAATTGTCACCCTACAAGATGCAATATTCAAAGTCTGCTCATGATTAGTAATTATGATTACTAATCATCACGGACTTTGAATATTGCATCTCATAGGGTGACAATTAATTTTCAGGAATCTGATTTTCAGAATATTGTGGTAAAACCAAAATAAGTATATAAAAAAGGTTATGGAGATGAGGTTAACCAGGGAAGCAATAAAAATTTTTTATTTAACTGACCCGTGATATTTTACTAGTGAAGTTTTTTTTAATTATTTCAATTAAATTTTCGAATGGTTGATATCCATAATCATTATATGTTAGGCACAACCCTCCTAAATCTTCTCGATATTGAAAACGGCTATTTTGCAAGCGAGCTATGAAAGAAGTACGTCTCATTCCATCAGGATACATGGCAGAAAACTTCTCCCAAAGTTCACTTTTTTGATTTTTTAAATAAAGAACAGGTAAGTGTGTTTCTTCATCAACTTTGTATGAGCTCATATTCACATTGTCTTTATCACTAAAAAATAATTCAAACTCTCTTTCTTTAATCTTAGACATTTTTGAACAGGTAATTACAGGTTTTTCTAATGAAATACATCCGGGTCCATTAATATGAGAGAACTGTCGTGCTATATTAACAGTATTAGGAGATACCTAAGTTATGAATAATTTATTTAATACTATTATATTTTACATATTTGGGAATGCCTACAGCAAAAGCAGGTCATAGGACTATATATTATATAGTCCTATCACCTGCTTTTACTGTGGGCATCCCCATTTAATAATGACGAAACTCACTTTTAACTCATCCATTATTTTCTGATACATGAATCTTTTAGCAATTATAGATAGTATACGCACTTTACTATTTGTTCCTTTAAGATTTACATTGTAACTATCACGAAAGCAGTCCCAAAATGCTTTAGTGGTTAGAGTTTGTAGCGACACATTTAGAATTTCATTCTCATATAAATTCTTAAGCGTATCATGGTCTTTTTCAGGGTCTGGTGCGTTTGTCCAAAATTCATTCTATATGTTGAGTTTTTTTTTTAGATTATTAACCTTTCAACTTATAATAATAAATTTTGAAACAAGTAAAAGCCTATCATCAGGCTTTCAATTATATTTTGTATTCAGTTTGTTCTCTGAGTATCGTCTAAAGAAAATCTATCAATAGGCTTTCAATTATATTTTGTGACAAGTCATTACAAATATAATCGAAAGTCTGATGATATACTTTTCCTAGATAGCATTTAGAGAACAAGCCAGATGCAAAATATAATTGAAAACCTAATAACAGATTTTCTTTTGATAGCACTCATATAATAGTTACTCCCGTAAAATTACATAAGTATTGTTAAAGAAATTATATTTTAGATTTTGAGGTTATTATTTTTCAGATTTGATTTCAATTAGTAATATAATGCGCAATCGGATAAGTCTGATAAATTATAATCTAAAAACCTGAGGTTTGCTTTTCTTCTAGTAGTACTTATTGAACTATTAACATAATAATTTCTTATTTATCAAAATTAGATTGAAATAGCAATTTACCATATTTTATTATATAAACTACCTAGGGGGTTTTTTTTTTACCTTAATTTAATTCTCAGTATTTTGTAAAGGAAAGAGAGATTTGTATTAAACCTAAAAATATAAATCTGAATCTCTTTGCCTTAAACCAAACCTAGATATTAGGTCTGAGTTTATTATCATTAGGGTAGTTTATATGGTAAAATAGGTTAATGAAATTGGACTACATATAAATGAATAATCTTAAAGCAATGCTACGGGCTATCATATATTGTAATGTTTTTTTTTCTTTTTTGATATTTACTTTAGAAATTTGTTTGCTATACGGAGTAATATCTGTGCACTCAGTTGCACAAAAAATTGCACGCTATGCCTGCACTTCACGTTCTCGGAATTCATGATTCAATCCATATATTTTACTAAGGTGGTTATGTAATTCAATTATATTGCTTTTTTGTTGTTTCCAATTTTGAAATACTTGGTGCCATTTTTCAGCAGATTTACTAACAGCTTTCTTTAAATGTAGATCAAATAAATATTCCATGATTACTTTATTGTTCCAATCCGCTAATGTACATTGATTAGATACTAATATTTGATTTGTTTGATATACTTGATTGAGTTTTTGTAAAGTTGTTAGGTGGTTTATAGCAAATAAAGTGTCACCTGGGATAGATTTTAATATACCAGTTTGATACCAAACAGCGTTGGGTGAATTATCTGTATATTCTGCAACAATTTGACTGTTTTGATAAACTATAATCGAATATGAATTATTATTATTTACTCTTTGAAAAAAAACTGATTGTTTCGATTTGTACTTATAAAACAATGAAGATGTATAATTGTATCCAATTGTTTTTTTATTTGAATGTGAGATTTTACCAAGGAAACTAACAAATATAGATAAATTTTCTACTTCAATAATAAAAAGATAAAAAACAACACTTTCTAGTAATTTTTGAGATGTTTCAGTTTGCTCTAAGCCCAAATATGAAAGGCTCGCAAACTTTGTTTTAGTGCCAAAAATAGCTTGATAAACTGAGGTAATTGCATTAGATGAACTTGTAACAATATCACTACTTTGTCCACTACCTTCACATATATAACTAGGCTGTAAATGACTATGTATATAACGAACTACACGAATAATAAAAGACATTTTATTAAGTTGTATCATAACTTCAAGTCCTAAACGTATTGGAATTGGAGATAGCACATTTTGACTTTCTTTAAAAAAAATCTACCAGTTACATAAGTATGGACCGTAGTGAAGTTCTGGTATAATAGTACCAGTTACAACAAGTTTTCTGGGGGTTATATGAACATTTGTCATGTAGATTCTTAAAGAAATAGAGATTTCAAATAAGCATTTTTTTATTATTAATTATAGCACTGTAATTTACTATATACTATCTATCGATCACATGCAGATCGGCAATTAAAAATTTAAATTTAGAAGATATGCTATAATAATTCTAATTAAATACAAAGAATCTTTAATACATCGTCAATATATATTAAGAATTTTTTAATTGAAGATATATATAAATAAAAAAAAAGTTCTATAATATAATACAATAAATTTTTAATTTCTACTAAATAAATACTCAATATTACTATATTAGAATATAAATACTATTGAACAAATAGTATATTTGCTATATATAAAAGTATAAAATTCTAGATATTAATTATTTAACATAATATGCTTCTAATTAGAAATAAGAACTTGATAAGTAAAAACTACTAAAATAATATACTCATCATATTTAATAAGTATAGACTTCTAAGTACTAGTTTAGAAAAGATAACAAATTATTATTATTAGCAAATAATATGTTTCTAAATTAGAGTAATAAGAGCTTTAAATATACTTATCAAGAATTCTTATTTTAGTATATTTGGATATTTTTGTATTATCATTTCTCTCTCTTGATTATTCAATTAAGTAGTAATCTGAAGAATTAAAAATTGACTATATTCATATATTCATAATAAGTATAGACTTTAGATACTAACTCAAAAAAGATAACTAAATTAGTATTATTAACATAATAATATATATCTAAATAAGACATCTCAAACATTCTTTAATATATTTAACAATAATATGTTTCTAAATAAGATTATATCTTTATCAGGTATTCTTTAATATATTTAACAATAATATACTACTAACTAAGATCTTGTTAAGTATTCAATATATATAACTAATTTTAAATATATTATATTAAATCAAAAATGTTATCATGTACTCTCTCTGATGATCATTTGAACCAACTTTTCAAAAAGCTAAACAACAGAAAAAAGATATAGTTAATATATTAACCTTCAAAAAAACCTTTCTGAAATACTGTACTCATATAGTTAGATATTGAAATAGAATTAAAAAAGAGGTTGCAGCTTTGTGGAATAGTTTAAAGTACTCTGAGACTATAGAAGAAGAAGTTGCAAAAGCTAAAGTTTTTTTATTTTGAATAAATAACAAAGTTGAATATATTAGTTCTATACAACTATAAAATCTAGAAAGAATACCTGCAAAGGTTCAAAAACTCATAAAAGCTATAAAGCTAGTTCATCTCTCATCTTTACTTTTTTTCAAAAATTTTGTAAAAAGTAGGTATTTCAGTTTACTTTCTCCTAAAGATCAATATATACAACTACTAAAACAGTTAGCAGTATTTATTTCCTAAACAGGTTTGTTGATAACTTAGATCAAAAACAAAATAGTAATATAAATATAACTATACATATGCCTTAAAGATACTAGAACTTCAAATACTGCTTCTGAACTAACTAACAACTAATATTGACTCTTTATGATTAAGTTGAAGTTTTTTCTTTCCTATATAGTTTTTTTATAAATATTCTAATTAAATAAGAAAATATAGAGTTATTCTTATTTAGTATAGTTTATAATTTTTAAAGCTAGTCATAGGCTTAAAATGTGATTATCTGATATCTATAAAATACAAATTTCATATTTTTTTCTTTTCTTTATCTCTTCTTCTTTTATTTTTTAATCTGTATCTTTTATTATTTGCCCTTATACTTTTTTTTTTTACGTATTTAAAATTTTTTTTTGTTTTTGCTTCTCTATAAGAAAATATCATCAGATTAGCAGTATCTTATTGTAGGGTAGTAGTCAGACAAGATAGTCTATTTCTAATATAAATTGCATAGTAGATTATATTTAGACTCTATATAGAAACTAGATAATACTAAACTTAGGAAATTAGTTAAATTCTTCAAATTGTATAGTTTTAAAAGTCTAATAAAGTATTAGCATGACTGCTAAAGATAAAAAAAAAAAAAAAAAAAAATATATATATATAGGATAGCACTTATTTTATCGATACTTATTTTACTAACTGTGTTATTTCACTAATATTTTAGCCTGATTTAGAGATAGGGTTTAGCCAGTTTTATATTTTCAGTAAAATTATTGTTGGTGAAATAATACAGATTCTATATATATATATTATATTAAATATAATAAGCAAATTATTTTTTATATAAAATTCTTTTTTATAAAATAGAATTAAGGTAGTATATCATATTAACAAATTATGATATTTACAATAAAATAAATTTGCATTATAAATTAATTATACAAATTTTATTTTATTGTTTTTATTAAGGTCAAAATTCCTATATAACAATACTTAATTTTCTTGAAAGTAATATATCTATATCTTTTTTAACAATGATATACTACTTAGATACTTTCATATATAAAATTTTTATTCAAATATATTAAATTCTTATCATTAGAAAAGAAAAAGCCTATTTACTATAAATAACTGAAATAATCTTTTTACTAATAAAATTTGTACTTTCTTTTTAGTAAAAGTTGATGAAAGTAGGTCTGGCGATCTTAGTGTAGTGGTTTAGTTACCAGACTGCTATGTAAGAGGTCTGAGATTCAAATTCTACTATCGATGAATTTGAATAATTACCCGAACCTTTGTACTCAACTTACGGTAAACTCTGTCTGTTTCTGGGGTTGTAACCCTGTAAATTATGTTGCACCAATATCATCCAGATATTGGAAGTGTGATGAGGCATTTGGCGAGACATAATATTACATAAATAAATCTTGATAGGATCTACAGGCAGAGGACTTGCATAGTAGAAATCCTGAGTTGGTGAAGTAGTATAGCCTTTAATAGTTACACTGGCTAACACTTGATCCAAAAAGGAAACTATTGACAAAAGATGCAGATCGAGTTGAGTACGTATAAATCTATTCTACAAAGAGGATCGATAATATCAATCTGGCTTAGTAGCTAACTAGATTAAGAGGATCTGCTTCGTAAAACATCTGAGAAGATAGATACAGAAAACTGGTAGAGAGCTACAGTAGGAACT